ATAAACTGCTAGTTTTTCCTGAAGGATGAGGTTTTAGAGATGATCACAGGAGACCTAGGTTGATGGACATAACCCTGTTTGCTCATGGGTTTCATCTCAGCAGAGTTTACTGACCTCTGGACAATCTAGTTAATTTACTAGAGTTAATGCCTAGATGGTGGTTTAGTTGCTAAATTGTGCCTGACTCTTGCAACCTCATGGACTGCAGCCTGCCAGGCACCTCTGTCCATGGGATTTTCCAGGCAAGAATACTGGAGTGGGTTGCCATTTCCTTCTCCAGAGGATCTTCCTGACCCAGGAATCGAACCCAGGTCTCCTGCATTGCAGGAAGATTCTTTACCAATTGAGCTATGAGGGAAGTTACCTGAGTTAATGCCTAAGGCATAGGCTATTTGGAAAGCATATCCCTTTGAACTGTAAATCAAGTTGAAGGTAACGATTTGGGGATATTTCACCAGCTGTTTAGGAAATCCTGGACTCTCCTGTAGTCTATATTTACAACTCTGTAAGCTTGCAAAGACACTAAGAGTTAAATATGTCCCTTTTCTGTGAAGCTTCTTTAAAATTCTTATCTGTGTTACTCATATACATATTATATATGTATATATGTGAATAGCCAACTGAGATTTCATAGCTTTCATTTAACATATTTAGCTGGATCTTTTCAACCAAAGTATATAAATCTGCAATGTATTCTAATGTAACCCAATTAGAGTTACTAACGCCATCTGTATATATATATTTTTGGTTCAGCTGTCAAAAAGCATACAAATACAATCCTTGTAATACAATATTCAATAGTTGTATAATGTTTCTTTTTACTATACTTCATTTAACTTTTTTCTATTTTCAAGAGGATCAATTTTCATTTTCTTCCTTTTACAATTAGTATCTTACTACATATTTTAACATATAAGTCTTTGCCCACATCTCTGATATTTTTCCTGGGATTCATTATTAGAAGTGCAATTACTATAGCAAAGTATATAAAATCTTAAACTAAAGGTTTAAAAATAAAAACAAACATATGTATAGTAATTAAAGACTCGAACAGCACAAGGCTTCTAACAAAATATCCTATCACTCTTCAGACCTTGTCTGTCTCATTTTTCCTCTCTTTGGCTAGTTCTTCTTCTTTTTTTTTTTTTGGCTAGTTCTTCTATCTTCAAGTACTGTTCTTTCTTGATTTTTAAGTTTCAGACATTATCTATTGACCCTATTATGATAACAGGAATAATTAACTTTCTTATATGGCCAAGCACATTCCTCTCCCTTACCCTCTCCTCAGCGATTGTATTTTTTGGTTTAAATTAGTATTTGGTATTCATATTTTTAGGGTATATAAATATTATTCTCTAAGCCATGTAAAGTATTATGATTACATTTCCTTTCTTATACATTAAAATTTTTTCACTATAGCTAAAAACTGCCTCATTTATTTTTTTTTTTCCATTTATTTTTATTAGTTGGAGGCTAATTACTTTACATCATTACAGTAGTTTTTGTCATACATTGAAATGAATTAGCCATGGATTTACATGTATAAACTGCCTCATTTAATTTCACATGTTTAATGCGGCTGTTTAAAGAAGTGGACCCCAAACTGATAGAAACTGTTAGCAGTGATAGATGAGGTACGCAGGCGCCTCCCCTGGATTCTGGGTGGGCTTGTGATTATTTTCAAAGGAGACCATGAAGACGAGAGGTGACACCAGAGGCTGGTCATAGAAGAAAACGCGGCCTCTGCCTTCTTTGCTGGAAGGACGCTCGGTGTTTGGAGTTCTGAGTTGGCAAGTAAGTAGTCTGACTACTCCGAGGCGGCCATTTTGTGAGAAGCCAAGCTAAGTTGGGGGGGGGAGGGATGTACGAATACTTGGGTTGGTAAAAAACCTCGTTTTCTTGACAGCCCATCCCAAGTGCCAGATGTGACTAGAGTCTCCAAATGATTCCAGTCTCCAGCATCACTGAATCACCTCCAGCTTCTGAGTCTTTCTGCCTGAGGTCCCAGACATCATGGAGCAGTCATCCCCTCTGTGCACTGTCCAAATTCCATCCATGAACATAATAAAATGGTTATTATTATTATTATATTTTTTTGGCCAGGCCGTGCAGCATGTGGGATCTTAGTTCCCTAACCAGAGATCAACCCCACACCCCTTGCATTGGAAGCTCAGAGTCTTAACCACTGGACCATCGGGGAAGTCCCCTAAAATGGTTATTTTAAGCAGTTAAGTTTTGCGGTCATGTGTCAGGCAACAGTAGTAACTAGTACACTTAGTTTTTATGTTTCTGTCATTATCAGTTCCTAAATTCTCAATATGGCCAAGCACATTAGGGGATCATCAGTTCCATGTTTTCCTTAGAGATACTTCTTCTGGAGATCTCTGTCCTCTTGTTCCAATCTGGATTGGATGCAGAGCCATCAGCCGAGGACTTGCTTGGATGAGAGATAGTACAGCATGTTACTGTATTTAAGGATATGGGTCCTGTAGTCAGGCTGCGTGAGTCTGCATACTGGCTCCATCACTTGCCAGTGCTGCGTGACTGTGCTCAAGTTAATCTCTCTTTGCCTCGGGTTTCTCATTAGAACAGTAGGTGGCACACAGTAAGTGCTCTTATTGTTGGCATTCTTCTTTCTTGTTGTTTATTACTCTTCCTTTCACGGTGTCCTGGGAATTCCTGTCACTTCACACCTATGGCTGATGCCCTAGTTCCTAAACTCCATGCCTTTTTCTTTCTTCTTTACTCCCTTAATAGAATATATAACCAGTTTCCTAAAAAAAAAATATGCTTAGGAGGTTTTTTGAAATGCTGTTTTGAGTTGTCTTTATTTAATATCACATTTGCTAGTACGACTGGCATAAAATTCTAAGTTGGAAACAATTTCTCTTTGAATGTTGAAGTTATTACTTCATTGCCTTGAAGCTTTCAGTGTCACCACTAAGATAATACTAACTCTTGATCCTTCGTACATTGGTATTTCTTTTTCTTTCTGGAAGTATTAGATCTCTTCTTTATCCCCACTGTTTCACAATTTGATAATGATAGTACTTGGTGTCGGTCTTTTAAAATTCATAATTTAGAATACCATTTCAATTTGGAGACATCTTCAGGTCCCTCAGTTCTTAGAATTTTTCTTTTCTTTAATTCTTTGTTAATTTTTTCATCTCCATTTTCAGTTCTCTTTCTGGGACTCATCATAGATGCAAGATCTTTCAACTGGTCCTCTAATTTTCTTATCTTTTCTATTTTTCTATTGTCTTTTTAGTCAGTTTTCTGGGGATTTTCTTATTTATTTATTCTATTCTTCTGATTTTTTTTTTAAAGCTCTACTTTCATATTTTTATACTTTATAATTCTGATTTCTTATTTTGAATTGTCCCATTTTACATATCACCTGTTCCTTTTGTTTTAAATGATTTTATTTATTTCTTTATGTTTGGCTGTGCTGGGTCTTCACTGCCGTGAAGGCTTTTCTCTAGTTGCAGCAAGCGGGGGCTCCTCTCAAGCTGGCACGCGCGGGCTTCTCGCTGCAGTGGCTTCTCCTGTTGAGGAGCACAGGCTCTGGAGCACACGGGCTTCAGTAGTCGCGGCATGCGGGCTCCGCAGTTGCAGTTCCCAGGCTCCAGAGCATAGGCTCGTAGTTGCGGCCCCTGGGCTTAGCTGCTCCGTGGCATGTGGGATCTTCCTGGATCAGGGATTGAACCTGTGTCTCCAGCACTGGCAGCCAGATTCTTTACCCCTGAGCCACCAGGGAAGCCCACCATATCACTTGTTCTTATTTTATGGATTTATTATCTTATCTCACTGAATATATTGATTACAGTACATTTGAATTTTTTTTTCCCCTTGCACTATTTCTTTTTTTTTTAATCAGTTAGCTTTTCACTTGTTCTTTCAAGGTAGAGGCTGTTCTGAAATGCCCAGGGGTCCTTTATTAGCTATTCTACTTCAGTTGGATATTTCTGTGCCCTTGGACACTCTGAGGCTTGTCAACTGTTGGACCTCACTGTAAAGCAGCTGGTCAGGGACACGGCATGTTTACTGAGGGAGCCCCAAAGGTCCACATCTGCAGGGCTTTTCCTCTGAGTTTGACAGGTTCCCCAGAAAGGAATCCTCTCATTTTCTACCTGGTGAATATGAGGAATTTTAAGCTGGCTGTTGGCATTTTGAGATCTATTATGGAGGAGGCAGGGGAGAGGGAAAATCTTATTTTTCCAAAAGCAGGTATCTCTGCTCTCTCTGCTCTATGTTATCTACCTCCACCTCAACTGTGCCTGGTTCCCCAGGTTGTGTATCAGATTAACCCAATCAATTAGAACCACCAAGTTAAATAAATTTCATGAAGCTCTGGATAAAAGGCCAAGAACTTTTTAATCCAGAGTTTCTGGATCAAAAAAAATCCAAAAAGGTTTCCTCTCATCTTCCATACCTTCTCTCTCCCATAAAAAAGTAGAAAATTTATCCAATTCAAGTCCCTTAACTCCTCCTACTTAACCATACTTTTTTTTTTTCTTTCTTCTTTGATAATGCCTCAGAACTTGAGTATTCAGGGTCCAAGTTTGTTTTAAAATAACCCAATGAGCTGACAGACGGAGCTCCTGGAATTCTGCAGCTTGTGCTAGAGTCTACAGATGGGAAATTGCCGTCAGTTAAAGGGTGGTGCTATTACCATAGCCCAATTTTTGAAAGCCTTTAGGAAAAAAAGTCATCTGAGTTAATTAGCATTCACCACAGGCACTAGTTTTGTATTACAGTATTCTATAAACTCAAATAACAAGAAAATACAGTGTTGTAGTCTCTAACTTTTAACTAACATTTAACTCTCAAAAATTGTATATTATAAAGTAAGAGTTTTACCTGTTACATGAATAAGCTCTTATATGACTGATATATTTGCTCTATATGACTATTGCTCTTAGATTGTCATAAAATATGAGTTATGTTTTAAAATTAACTAAATACTATTGGTATCTAAAATAAGAGCAATTTCATTTTACCTCTCCGATCTGCTTTATCCACAAATCTCTTCCAAGAAACTCCTGGTGTAAGACTACAGGAGCTGAGTTTAGATTAAAAGTCGAGGAGTCACTGGTCTTTTCTTTAATAAAAGGCTGCAGATCAGAATTTATCTAGAAAGAGCAGTCAAAGAGTTAAATCAGTAAATGCATATACATTGGCATGTTTCAATAATATTCAGAAAGCACCAGTTATAGAGTGAAAAATAAAGCTTAAGGAACAGTTTTTAGATGTACTGTAATAAGCAAAAGAACAGCTCATATGATTAACAATAATCTTTAAAAAATTTTTTAATAGTTTTTCCCTAACATATTCCTTTTCTATTTAAATTTATTTTCATTTTTAAGTTTAAGCTAAGGATTTAGAAATTATATTTATTTTATAAATATAATTGCTTAATAAACTAATCAATGATTTAATAAAGTACATAAAAACTCATCTGGAAATATTACATATTTCTGTACATATTTCCCCCTTCTTATGAGCTATTTAAGCAGCATCTAAGAAATACATACTAAATGGAATTTAAAATAACATATACATAGACATAACAATATAGAAGCTAATCTTGAGACATTTTTTAAAAATTTATTTTTAATTGGAGGATAACTGCTTTATATAGTGTGTGGTTTCTGCTGCACAATGTGAATCGGGCACAAATATACATATATCTCCTCTCTTTTCAACCTCCCTCCCTTAAGACATTTTATATTTCAGTTATTAGAATTAAAGCTTTCAATTTTATTCCATATATTTCTAAATTTCATTAACTTTCCACAATATGTTTTACATAGGAACTATAAGGAAACTGTAACAAAAATCCAAATATTCTTGCATTTTGTTACTAGCAACATTACATGTTATTTAATAATTTGCAACAATTCTTTCAAGACCCTTTCAGGTGGTAAGAAAAGACAAACATCACAAATATGGCTCAAGTAAGCTCTAGCTTTCTATCAAAATTATGCAGTACTCACTAATCATACTGTTTATATTACATAATAATCACCATGAACAATAGATTTTATGTACTCAATAAACAGTTTCTGATATATAAAGCAGTTTATTAAATGGTAAAAGACTTCTTGTGTATCATTTTAGCTATTTAATACTGAAAAAACAAAGGATGTGCAAATACCTTATGACTCATAGCCATGTGCTTCCCATACTGAAATGCCATATCCTGAACCTCAGCATCATGCTTTGCTAATTCCATCGCAGCTTGGCAGCTCTTTGCTAGTAAGGCCCCATGGGAGAGAAAAGTCTGCTCCTTCCAAGTCGATATTCCAATATCATCTGTGATATGATTTTCCTAAAAAATGCAACAAAAGCCAAGATTAAAAAGATTTTAGGAGTAATTTGTTTCAGTTTTTAAAGAACAAGTGTTAAGAAATGAACTATTGGGACGTTCCTAGTGATCCAGTAGCTAGGACTCTGTGCTCCCAATGCAGGGGACTGAAGTTCGATCACTGGTCAGGGAAATAGATCCCACATGCCCGAACCAAGAGTTTACATGTTGCAACTAAGGATCTCATGAGCCGCAACTAAGATCCGGCACAGTCAAATAATTTCTTTTTTAAAAAATGAAATGAACTATTTAAAACACTCAGGTTATCACAACAAGATATAACTAAAGGATGTTGACCCTCACCTCCACATGAAGGGAACTAAGGAGGTGCGAACTGTTTTTTTAGGGTAATTGAGAAAAATGAAAGAAATGTTGAAGCAAATTTTATTTTGAACTAAGGAATTTCTATTAAAATATACTTTAGGGGAAAAAAAATATATATATATATATACTTTAGGGGAATTCCCCGGCAGTCCAGTGGTTAGGGCTCTGCGCTTCCAGTGCTGGGGACTCAGGACAGATCCCTGGTCAGAAAACTAAGGTTCCACAAGTCACGTGACAAAAACAAACAAAACAAATTTTAAAAATGATATAAAAAGTATACATCTGTAGATCTCTATCTATATCTCTCTATATATACACTTACAGGGTAAGGCAAAAATATTAACAGAAACTTAAACCTTCAAACTAACTCTTCTATATTTGTATCAGTTCTTAATTAAGTGCTAGTATTCCAAAATACAAGAATCCTATTGTCTTTAACTTACGTTAAAATGTCAAGGGCATAATGAAGGAACTGCATTCTCTTATAACCAGGTAGACAGAAAAATCAGAGAGGAGGTAAACCATTATTATAATGGAGTATGATTAAATAACACTATTCAACAAAGTTTATTCCCACAAGAAGAAAAAAGGTATAAGGGACGAAATAATTGTAGTTTATTTAATTTCATCTTTTTACATTACAAAAATTACAGTAGTGTCTTTAAGTAAGCATACACAAACCTACTGACTGTAGACCAGTGATGTCAAATAAAAACATAATGTATATCTCATATGCAATTAAAAATTTGCTAGTAGCTACATTAAAAAAGTGAAAATAAACAGGTGGCATTAATCTTAATGACATATTTTATCTCCTAATATATCTAAAATATTACTAAAACATATAATCAACATTAATAATCATATACAATCATACATAATCATAATTACTATTAAAATATTTTATGTTCTTTTTTATACTAAGTTTTCAAAATCAGTGTGTATTTTCCACTTATAGCATATCACCAGTGACATTTCGAGTACCCAACAGGTACAAGGAGTTGGTGGCTATCCTAGTGGACAGCTCTACTTTAGGCAGTGAGCTCTCTGAGGAGAATGATGAAGCCGTATGTAGAACAAAGCTCATTTCACAGTGTTTCTTTGAAACCTCAAACTAACTAGAAAGCATCCATTAATTCAAAAAGATTAATGAACCTAAACACTTTACTTCCTGCTGCCCACACCGAAATCCTTCTTCCATCATTATGTGGTGACAAAATAAAAAACAGTAAGAAAACTTAAAGAGAGGTCATTAAAAAATGACCTCAGATTTAGCCCCACCTCTTTCACCATGCTGAGGGGAATCTTCAATCCATTGATCAGATCAAATTCTCAATTTTATATGCTTTTAAACAAAACGAGAGTTCCACTTATAGCAACAGTTACAAATACGCAACCTACTATTGTGTAATAATCAAAAAAGCCACACAGGGAGAAACAGTGCATAGACTGCTTCATAAGACATTACAGATAAATAACAGCATTTAATTTTAGAAACTTGAGAATGGATTTTAAAATGTTTAAAGTTAATATATCATACTAATAAGCCTAGATAAAAACCATATTATCTCTCCAGATATACTAAAGATGAATTCGACAAAATTCTATTCTTGATGGGGAAAAAAAGCACTTACTAAAATAAGATATGTATTTTTTTTAATGTATATACTGCAATCCTATTTCAAATCCATAAATGAAGTTAGCGTGTAGAAAATTTAAATGAAACAGTACAGTAAAAATAGCAGAGAACCAAAAAATCTAAAAAGGCAGAATACCTAAAGCATGAGAATTCATTAAAGCTTCATTTTGGGGTTTTGATTGACACTTGACGGTTGCAAATTTTGAAACAAACTTTGATATCACAATGAGATATCACAATGAGATTTCAGCACCAGCACTAAGATTTGTACGTTCAGTTGGTTTGCAATTGACTTATTAGCCATTTACACAGTGTATAGTACAGATTTGTCACAGGACAGATCACCGTGTTAAAGGAAAGAAGAACCTTCATGTAATGAGACAGGATCCCTTAAATTGCACACAGCTTACAACATCCAACATACAAAAGCATAAAAACCATCATAATACTGTGATTCCAAGAAAGACAGTTTTGGTCAGGAAGATAACCTAAGATCCTATTTCCCATTTTAATTTCTAAAATCTCTTACAATGACAAAACTGTCAGGTAGGACAGAAAGTATACAGTGCTGGGAAATATGTGATTCAGCACTGTTTTTTTTTGTCATTTAACACAGACATCATGTTAATATTAGACCAAAGTACAAAACATTTAGTGCATAAACCAGTTTCTCTTTTAAGACCTAGGAATTTTATCACAGTCTTTTATCTTAATTTGGACCACTTATACCCAGTACTNCAGACATCATGTTAATATTAGACCAAAGTACAAAACATTTAGTGCATAAACCAGTTTCTCTTTTAAGACCTAGGAATTTTATCACAGTCTTTTATCTTAATTTGGACCACTTATACCCAGTACTCTATCCTACTATAGACTGCTTAACTTAGTCAACAAAATCAAAAGTAATTTCTGGTGAGATTTATGGGGGACATAAACATTTATATAATTAAAGTGTCTGCATAACCAAAAGTACAATAATAAAAATGAAAATGCCTCCTGCTCCTTTTAGAAAAATAATACTTCATAAGCTTCCAGCATTTTTATTGCCTTTACTATTGCACGACAATGAATAGTGGATAGAAAAAAAGAACTATATACTTGAATTATGATAGCTTAATCCATCACAAATTAATCTAAAAATGAAGCTTTTAGGGGTTTCCCTGGTGGTCCAGTGGCTAAGACTCTGTGCTCCCAAGGCAGGGGGCCCTGGTCTGATCCCTGGTCAGAGAACTCGGTCCCAAATGCCGCACTAAGAATTTGCACGCTGCAACTAAAGATTCCAAGTGCTGCAACTAAGACCCGGGACAGCCAAATAAATAAATAAGTGAAGTTTCTACAGAAACAGGAACTATTTTTTGAAAGATTTATTTCTTTATTTATTTTTGGCTGTTGTTGGTCTTCGTTACTGCACAAGGGCTTTCTCTAGTTGCAGGGAGCAGGGGCTACCTTTCATTGCTGTGGGCAGGCTTCTCATTGTGGTGGCTTCTCCATCCTTGTGGAGCAAAGGCTCTAGGGAGTACGAGCTTCAGTAGTTGCAGCGAGCGGGCTCCAGAGCACGAGCTCAGTACTAGTGGCTCATGAGCTTAGTTGCTCCAAGGCATGTGGGATCTTCCTGGACCAGGGATTGAACCAGGTTCCCTCACCTTGCAAGGTAGATTCTTAACCACTGGACACTGGGGAAGCCCAGGAACTATTTTAATAAGGGGGAAAAAATGCCCTCATTCCAGATGTGTATTTCTTTAATATGACAAGTGTGTGTGTGTGCATACACATGCACACACATGATCACCCAAAAGTTAGCAAACACTTTATAGGGAAACATATGACCCTTTCTTCCTAAAATTAGGAACAGGACAGAGGTGAACACAATACCATGGCCATTTAACAATGTAATAGAAGTGGTGAAAAAAGGATAGATGTATAAAAATTAGAAATGAAAGGTTTATCACTATTTGAAGATAATATAACTGCATATTGGGGAAAATCAAGAGATCCAACTGAACAATTACTAAAGCAAAAAGATAATTCAGTAGGGTAGCAAATATTAAATCATAAAACCTCAGTAATTTTTTAAGAATGTGTGCCTTTAGACAGACAGACAATGAAACAAAATAGGAAGTCCAGGAATCAAACTACACACCGGAATTTAACATATTTTAGGGAAAAGTTGGACTTTTTAGTAAATGGCGCTGGAATAACTGAACAACCTTCTGGGAAAAACACTAACACTGATCTGCATATCACACAATTTATCAGGATAAACTCCACATGGTAAAAATAAAAACAAAAGAACCACAGACAATAACTGAAGACAAAAGACAATAAGGAAAAGTATTGGATTGGCCAAAAAAGGTCATTTGGGTTTTCCCATAACATCTTAACAGGAAAACCCAAACAACTTTTTTGGCCAACCAAACATTTGCATTTCCTATCATAGATGAATGACAGATCTTCCTATGGTTGGCTAACCATGATCCCCCACAAAGACAGTCACATCCTAATCCCTGGAGTCTGTGAATGTCACCTTACATGGTAAAGGGGACTTTGCAGTTCTGATTAAATTCAGGATCTTCAGTTTAGTTCGTGTCTGGCTCTTTGCAACCTTATGGACAGCAGCATGTCAGGCTTCACTGTCCATCACCAACTCCCGGAGATGGAGGAATTATCCCATAACTGGATCAACCTAACGCAGTCAAAAGAATCCTCATGAAAGGGAAGTAGCAAGGATCAAAAATGGCGGATGAAGCCACAAACCAAAAAATGAAAGTGGAGACTAGAAAGGGTAAGGAAAGGGATTCTCCCCTAGAGACTCCAGAAGGAATGCAACCCTGACAACATCTTGATTTGGGGGCTTCTGATCTAAAACACCCACACTTTCCATCTCCTTAAGGCTTCACTCAGTGTTGGTGAGGCTGTAAAGAAACAGACCTAGCAAATATGACTGGAAGAAGTGGAAACTGGATAGAAATTTTGTAATTTCTTTCACAATTACCAATGT